GGGGAAGGGGTTTGGGGTCCATGGGGACAGTGTAGAGCGGGAGTGAATGGGAAGGGGTTTGGAGTCCATGTGGACGGTGTAGAGCGGGCGCGAACAGGAAGGGGTTTGGGTCCATGGGGACGGTGTAGAGCGGGCGCGAACAGGAAGGGGTTTGGGTCCATGGGGACGGTGTGGAGGGGTTTGGGTGTTGAATATCTTACATTTTAAGTCCCGTGCTCTCCATTTCAAGCTCCTCAATGGTTCGCGATCGACTCATGGTGTGTATGACCTGCTCGATCACCTCCGAGCCCTGGAGAAATGAATAAAACTCAGACTCAGCGCTGACCCTCCGACAGTGCCCATTCCCTCAGCGCTGACCCTCCGACAGTGCCTGCTCCCTCAGCGCTGACCCTCCGACAGTGCGGCGCTCCCTCAGCGCTGACCCTCCGACAGTGCCCATTCCCTCAGCACTGACCCTCCGACAGTGCCCGCTCCCTCAGCACTGACCCTCCAACAGTGCCCTGCTCCCTCAGCACTGACCCTCCGACAGTGCCCACTCCCTCAACACTGACCCTCCGACAGTGCGGCGCTCCCTCAGTACTGACCCTCTGACAGTGCCCGCTCCCTCAGCGTTGACCCTCCGACAGTGCCCCGCTCCCTCAGCGCTGACCCTCCGACGGTGCCCGCTCCCTCAGCACTGACCCTCCGACAGTGCGTCCCCTCGGTACTGACCAGTTTGAGATCTTTAGTGGAGAGTTTCGTGAACCATTGATTGTAGGCCAGAGCAGCCACGATCAGAGCCAAATCCCTGTTAGAGTGACAGAGAGAGTCAGCGGGAGACCGAGACAGAGAGTGAGGGTGAGACAGACAGACAGAGTGAGAGGGAGGGAGACATACAGAGAGGGAGAGAGAGAAAGTGACAGAGACAGGCAGAGAGAGGGAGGCAGAGTCAGAGAGAGAGAGAGAGATGGAGAGAGAGAGTGAGAGAGAGAAACAGAGAGTGTTTGTGTGAGAGAGAGAGAGAGAGAGGGAGATAAAATATAGAAGATTCCATTCCCCAGAAGTCAACATCCCTTATCTTAAAGACTGTAGAAAGTTTTGGAATGGAACGTAGTGTGAGGAAACGTGAGGTTTCGTACCTCGGCAGGAAGGAGAGAGGAGTTGAAGGTTATTTAAACGGGGAAAGACTGCGGAAAGCCGCAGCGCACAGGGATTTGGGGTCGGGGGTGGTGGGCGGAGGTGGTTGTGGTGGTGTCCTCGTCCATCAATCACAAAACGCTGGTGTCCAGCGGGGAACGGGGAAGGCGAATGGAACGTTATTTCACAGGGAATGGAGTATAAAATCCGGGAGGTTTCACTAAAACTGTACCAGGCGCTAGTCAGAGCCCCAGCTGGAACATGGCGAACGGTTTCAGGGCCCCGTATC